AAAAAAAAAAAAAAAAAAAAAGGTAGTTAATATGTGTCTGGGGATGGGGGGACACCCCTTATCAACAAGGGTGCCTGAACGATGCATATTTGTATACCTAACCCTTAACTGTACGCCACAATTTTAATATAAGTTTTTTTAAAAAAGATACTTTAAAAACTTAACTTACAATGCTACATATCTAAATTCCTAAAATTTGATAGAAAGGGCATAATAAAGCTTTGAGTAATGGGAACCAGGTTAGTGTCCACGATACTTGTATTCTTCCATTACTAAATGCAAAGCACTTAATTTGCTAAATTCCTACAATGAGAATGAACACAGGTCTATTTTATATTTGGTGGCTGTTCGCTGGGAACATGCATCTTTGTTGGGGCATGAGGAGGTGCAATAAATGGCACACCTCCTTTCCATCTGAGCTGTGAATGTAATTAAAATGAAGAATGTAATTAAACTAATAAAGAGGCCTGAATAATACCTTTATTTACTGATAAAACTGATATTGGAGAATTTTTTTTTTTTTTTTTTTGAGTTGGAGTCTCACTCTGTCGCCCAGACTGGAGTGCAGTGGCCGCTCCCGACTACCGCAGCCTCGACCTGCTGGGCTCCGGTGATCCTTCCGACTCAGCCTTCCGAGTAGCCGGAATTACAGGCATACGCTGCCACGCCCGGCTGATTTTTGATTTATTGTAGAGATGAGGTCTCACCAAGTTGCCCAGGTGGGTCTCAAACCCGCGGGCTCAGGCAATCCAATCACCTCAGCCTCCCAAAGGTACGGAGAATTTCTTTTTAAAGAGACAGGGCATCACTATGGTGCCCAGGTTGGAGGGCAGTGACTAATCACAGGCATGATCATAGTGTACCATATCCTTGAACTTCTGGGCTCAAGCAACCCTCCTACCTCAAGCCTTCTAAGTAGCTGGGACTACAGGTACATGCCATGGTACCTGGCAAAAGAATATGCTCTTTATCTTCAGCCCAGTGAGCTTCCACTCACTGAACAGTAAAAACAGATTTATGCTATCTCGGGCATGTTATACTGGGGTAGGCCTCATCCCTCAAAGGGAGAGCCTGATCTCACAGGAACAGAACAAAATGAAAGCCTCTACAGACAGACTGGTGCCAAACAGGAGTTGGGAGGAAGCAGGTCAGCTACTTGGGCCTTGTTCCTCCTTCCAAGTTTACAATTGGATAAGTCACTTTACTTCACCTGGGCAGAGTGGTAAGGGGATGAAGAGTGACAGTAATGTTATGCTATTGGAGCTTCCTTCATATGGAGGGAAGAAGCATTCCTTTCTAACATTTTGGCATATTTTAAATTGTAATAACCTAATATACTTATTTAATGCCTCTATTCTCCACTAAGACCGTCAGTTCCATATGAAGGAAAATATGTTCACCTCTGTGCACATGGGGACTAGCATACCTCTATGCACATGGGGACTAGCATGCTGTTGGGCACATAGCAGGCAGTCATGCTGGTTAACTCAACAAATGCAACAGTTTCTTACAGTGGACTGTAACATATGAGGAGGACACAAAAAACTCTGGAATTATTTTTTGGAGGGCAGGTACCTTATAGTACATACAAGCTTTCCTTGCTAGGTTAAGTGTTCTAGAAACCCACTGGCATCAGTATACCAGCTAACATTGTTGTAATAGGCTGCATTCAGCTTCAGTGAACTTTTTGGAGGGAGAGGTTCTTTGAATGTGTTTGCCCATTTCATGATGGGTGATTTATGACCGCACCTGCTGACACTGCACTGAGTATTCAGCAGTTTTTGCCCCAAAATGGCATGACCCATGCCCCACCCTCCCTATTCACCAGATGGTCTACCCTGTCAATCCTTGTATGTACCTTACATGGGTACTAAAGGCCATTTTGACCTACTATCATCAGAATTAGTTTGCCCTGACAAGAGTGCATTCGATTCTGAAACTAGTTCAGCTGGTCAAGGGTCTGTAACCAAGTCTAAAAAAATCTTACCTATCTTTTTGATAACCCTTATGTTCACTATCATTAGTTTTTCTGTGGTTTCCATAGGCTTTCAATCTATAGTCATAATAGTCAACATTTATATGGCACTTTTAGTGTGACATCTGTGCCAGGTCCTTTACTGTCTCTTAATTCTCACAATTAAGGATCATGAGCAGATCGAGTGAACCCAGCAGGCTGAGGCTGTGGGAGCAGTGAGCCTTGCTACTGCATTCCAGCCTGGGCAACAGAGTAAGACACTCCAGCTCAAATGTTTCGAGAAGTGGAAAAAGCATCTCGACAGGTGTATTGCATCAAGCGGAGAATACTTCAAAGGTGACTGATGTTTCAATATGTAAGAATAAATACACATTTTATAAGTTCTGGGCTTTTTTGGAGTTCTCCCTTATATATGGCTGGTTGGTTATTTATTTAGTCTTAGAGACAGAGTCTTGCTCGGCTACCCAGGCTGAGTGCAGTGAAGTGATTATAGTTCATTGCAACCCTGAACTCTTGGGCTCAAGGGATCCTCCTGCCTCAGCCTTCTGAGTAGTTGGGACGACAGGCATACCACCACACCATCTCCTTACTTATTAACCCAATATAAATTTATCTAAATGAATCAGAATGCAACACGATCATGTTAAAATAGACTTTTTGCTTTCAAAACAACTCAGCAGTTAAATCTTTGAGAAAAATTTTGTTGGAAAGCCTGTGATTCTCACTCACTGAACCATATGGACCCATTTCCTGACTACTCTATACTGTGGATTTCCTATTTATAGCTAAACAAATGCCAGAGTTATTTTGAGTAACTGATTATCAAACTTTTAAAACTATTTCCAAGACATTATGAAACCTTTTGAAATAGCATTTTCTGACCTTAGCTTCTTGACCTGGATAAAACTGAAGAACTAAGATGAAAATGATATTTTAAAATTTATTTGAAAGTACATATGATCTACTAATAGATACTATAAAATAAGAAAAACTACAGTAGACCCATTAACAACAAAACAAAATAAAAATCTGAATTTCTCTGTGTTTCTTCAGAGTACATACTAGATACCAATAAGTGTTTGCTGAATTTAAATGAACCATTAAGAAAAGGTTTGTTTTACTGGTTGACTTAAACGGTTTTAAGAAGCAGGGATAAACTTGTTTTTGTGTAAAATTTTTAAAATATGTATCAAAGCTCAATATTTGGGAGTTCCAAAGATTTCATACTAAGTTTTGTACACTGGCACTAGAGCATATATTATTTTTAAATTTATTGTTTTAGTTCATTACAAAAGAAACTCTCCAGCTATATGGTCACTTAAAATCCAAACAATTTTGTTATAATAATCTTTTATTTTTTTATAAAAATGTAATTATACAATATTTAACAGGAAAGTTAAATTCAATAATAAGTATGTAGGCTAGGAAATTTTTCAAATAAGCAGCTGATAACAATATAATCCTACATGATTTACATAGTTGTTCAAGCAAAAACAAGAAAACTCTGGTTCAGTTTCTATGAACTATCAAAAGGATAAGGACAAAATGCCCTTCTGTTTTAAATAAATCATATTTTGAATGACAGCTTTTCAACATAATAAAATAAAGATATACACACAATAAAGACAAAATATCTCTTCCATTCTAAAACATTTCTCTTTAGTCCATATATACTTTGAATGATCGTGTGGCAAATTTCTGCTGCAATGGACAATGGTCAAAGTAAATCATCCTGGGTTAGTGTTCTAAGTCACTAACAGCAGCAGTAGGAGCATTAATAGTACTTCCAGAATCTGTAAAATCCCAATGCTATTGCCAGGCAAGTAAACACTGAGGCTGTGAAAAGAAGAAACTATGTTACAGGTAAAATATTTGTGATTATTTTGCAGAGATAAACAGAATAATGTTATCTTCAATTTAAATAAAGAGCAAAAACAAAGGAAATCCAACGAATTTTCTACCCTATGTTTTTCATTCCTTAGAAAATTAAGGATAAAGGACATTCTTAAGGGCTGGATTAATACCAATTCTTCTGAAAAGTGCCTGTATTTTAAAACAGAATAAGGATGACAGTTATTTAAAATGTAAATTATATGTCAGTTAGAACCTATAAACAGTATTTAAAATCATTATGAACATTATTATTATTATTATTATTTTGAGTTGAAGTCTCACTCTGTTGCCCAGACTGGAGTGCAGTGGCATGAACATGGCTCATTACAGCTTCAGCCTCCTGGGCTCAGGCAACCTTCTGCCTCAACCTCCCAAGTAGCTGGGAATTACAGGCACCTGCCACCACACCTGGCTTTGTAATTTTTTTTGTAGAGAAGAGGTCTTGCTATGTTGCCCAGGCTGGTCTGGAACTCCTGGGCTCAACCAGTCCTCCTGCCTCAGCCTGCTAAAGTGCTGAAATTACATGCAGATGTAAGCCTGGCCACTTTAACGTTAGTCTTGACTACTTTAAATAATTATAAACTCTAATTTCAGATCTTATGATAAGTGAAAAAACATTTGTGTTAAAAAATTATGATATCCATAAATGTATGAGAAGAAAATTTTAATTGCCTTTTCAGTACATTTAAAATAATTTCTTTCATTTAAAAATAAAATTTTAATTAGAATCCTTTGAAATACACTCAATGAAGTAGAAGGCAGAAAAAGTATTACGTTTTTTTAAGTAGTTAATATAATACTGTGGACTCTATGTTACATCAATGTGGACAGAAACCTTTCTGTTTTCCTAGCTTTAAGACGGTAAATCTGAGTGAGTGAGGCTTTTAGGGACTCCTTCGTCTCCAGTTTGTATAAACAGCCATGAACAAATTTGTAACATAGAAAATCTGAGAAAAAAGGCAAACTTTTATGACTGAAAACACAAGAAATTAGCTTTTCAAAGCAAAGTTGTTCTAACTATAATGTATATGAGTATACATAATCATGTATATATCTAATTATACATTTTCCCATTTGTTCTCTCTACTGACTGAAACGTGGTTAATAACAAGATTACTCTCAATTTTAAGAAATGAGATTAGGAATCTCTAAGATATACGGGGAAGCAGGACATTAAAGGAGAAATAACACTAAAAAGTGACTGTCTTACTTTCACTAGGCAAATAAATACTCTCCCATTTGATCCTGCTACTACCTACAATGTGTCAGGAAGTGTGCTAGTGTGCTGAGCAATTACATACACTACCTTATTTAATTATATGAGACTAATGGTATTATCCCTATTGTACAGATAGGCAAAAGCCCGAAGTTATAATGCAAACAAGTAGTGAACCCAGGATTTAAGACTAGGTGTACTTGACTGCTTTGCTATTCTCATTTTATACTGTGATACCTGAAAGATTCAGTTTATCATTGTTTTGAGCCACATAGTGCTATCTAGGTGATTATATTCTCTGCTAACTCAAGAGCTGAGAAGTTATAGATAACCAAATGAACACTTTTTATTTATTGTGAGAAGGGAGGTATTTCATTTCTTTATTAGAATACACAGTTTTTGCTGCATTTAAGTTTTGCTCTTATTTCTTGCTGCTGTAATTTCAGCTTCTATTTTTTGTTGCTGTCATTTTGCTATGGAACCATCTCAAATTGCTTTTAAATTTATTGTTTATCTTCTATGGCCAAGGAGACATTCTACATATATGCAAAATGCTTAAGTGAGCATGTGCCTGGCAATGCACCAGGCAATCTGTAAATATTAGTTTTTATTATTATTCATATGCCCAGAACAGATTCTGTCACATTAACTATACAAATTAGTTGGATACTGCCATTATCAGACAATTCTTGCCTCCTTGGCAACAGTGTTCTGGGTCAAAAGATGATGTCTGACCCAAGATGAACTATTCAGAGTGCTCTAGGATTTTCTTAATTGGAACTAAGAGGGTAATCTCTCCTTATTAGCGAAACTAGAGTAAGAGTCTATGGAAGAGCTATTGGTGGCAATGTTTCCAACCCATAAGGAGGAAGCTGGAATGAGAAAATGAGGCAGGTATTCAGAGACAAGTTAAAACTTGAGTAAGTTCTGATTCCAGTTCTCCCTGTAGTTAGGCAATGCTTCTACCCCTTCCATAGTTCAGCTGAGGTCTGGGGTCCCCATCTTCACCCCTACTGTCATCCTAATGGTATAAATCAACAATTTTATTTCAAACAGTAATTTGTTAATATGAAGAATTTTCAACATGCCTAATATATGACTATTCAGTGCAGTAGTGTTCTTAGTAAAATTTTCACATGAAGGAGTACTATGTTTTCTAATAAGATGTCTATGTGTGCATGGACATGGAAAGATATTTAAGACGTTTGGTTAATATTTTTTTTTTTAAGTTGGAGTCTCACTCTGTCACCTAGGCTGGAGTGTAGTGGCACGCTCATGGCCACCACAGCCTCGACCTGTTGGGCTCAGGCGATCCTTCCACCTCAGCCTTCCAAGTAGCTGGAAGCACAGACATGTGCCACCAATGCCCAGCTAATTTTTCTTGATTTATTGTAGAGATGAGGTCTTGCTGTGTTGCCCAGGCTGGTCTTGAACCCTTGAGCTTAGTCAGTCCTCTCACCTCGGCTTCCCAAAGTGCTGGGATTATAGGCCCAGCCTGGTTAAATTTTTAAAAGTTGTAGAACAGACTGTAATATATGATTTAATTATTTTTAAATAAGTCTCTCTATATAGAAGAAAAAGCCTAGAAAACATTTACTACTAATAGTCAATACACATGGTGAGGGGATCTGGAAGACTTTCACTTTTACTGTTTTTGAATTATGTGAATAATTTATAATAAAAATACATTACTTTTTATAAAAAGAGAGAAAAAAGACAATAGTTGACTAGGCATTCTTCCTGACTCACTGGGGTGCTGTAATTGGGTCAGGTTCAGATGGCACTTGAAGAGCTCGGTATGTGACAGATAATCTAATTTTGGGGTCAGTATCTATGCTGAATCAAGTGATTAAAAGTAAGAGGTTATCTCTCTCCCTACTATGGTTTTTTTTTTTTTTTGAGTTGGAGTCTCACTCAGTCGCCCAGACTGGAGTGCAGTGGCCGCTCCCGGCTACCGCAGCCTCAACCTGCTGGGTTCCAGCGATCCTTCCGCCTCAGCCTTCCGAGTAGCCGGAATTGCAGGCATGTGCTACCACGCCCGGCTGATTTTTTGATTCATTGTAGAGATGAGGTCTCGCTGCCCAGGCAGGTCTCGAACCCGTGGGCTCAGGCAATCCACTCACCTCAGCCTCCCAAAGGCGCGGGATTACAGGCTGAGCCACCGAGCCCGGCTCCTACTATGGTTTTTAATGGCCTATACCTACCTACTTTATTGATCTTCCTCTCTAACCTCACTCAATCCTTATGGAAGAACATAAGCAATACAAATAATATTTTCATTTCTTTCATTGCAGAATGCCTAGTTTGTACCTATATCATTTTGTACCTTTTTATATACACTTTACTATCCGTATGCTTTTTCCTGTTAGTAAGTTGTAAAGTTGCCTATGAAACTTATTCCTGATACTGGATCCTACAAGCACTACAGGTACAAACCAATAAAGGAGCCTTGTTATAATCTTTTTTTCTGTGCCTGCTTGATTATATTGAAAGGTAGAAACTAACTGAATGACATTGTAAGTTCTTTCTCTGACTAACAGTCTTACCTGCAAGATAACGAATTGTTTCAAGTTTGTTAGACTCCATCAGTGTTTTAAGGAAGCAATTTCAGTGTCAATTTTATTACTGGTTTCTGAAATAATATTTTTGGTTTTGGTATCCTGTAGCAAATAAGAATAAGATAACTCAATAATGTTCCTATGTATTAAATGAATAAAAATATTTACATTAGAAACCCACACTTATAGGCTGATTGTGCATTATAGAAGTCTTAACTGGGTTAGCAGTAAAAGCATAGTGGTATACACAGATTAAATGAACACTACAAACTGACAAATCACATTCCTTCTACTTTCATATTTGAAGATCATCTCTTAGGATTATCACATACTGGGCATATTCTACTAACAACCTCCTAATAACATATGAGACCTAAATATATAAGATGACAAACTGAGAAGAAAGAATTTCAGTCATAGAACTATCACTTTATGTGTGTAAAGTTCTTAGGATATTATGGTTAAAACTTTAAATATGTTCTGCAAATGAAAACAAAATCCACTAAGTTTACAATATGAACTGGTATCAATAGTAAAGGAAATGTCAGAAATATGTGATGGAATGATGTGTATATAGGGTCCAAGTGATAGGGAGGAGAGAGAGAATGAGACCTCTAAGCTCAGAAATGAGTTGTAAGAGATTTTGCTGATTTCCTTGTTTATCTCTTTTATCTGACCAAGAAGTAAGGGAAAAGAATAGGATCCTTGAAAGGACAAATGTGATCTTGTCTTCTCTTAAATTATGAGCAACAGTAGTATCTTCTGTTAAGTTGAAGACCAAATGGCTTTGAACTTGTATGAAAAGGACTAGGCTGGGCTTTACTTAAACCAAAGAGATTAAGTTAATGATTACATTTTAGGATTACTGAGAAGAGCAGTAGTTCTGAAATGGGGTTTTAAACCAGGTTCTTTTCCCAGTTCTACCACTTATTAACTGTGTGACCTTAACCTCTCAATGTCACATTTTCCAAATTGGTAATGGGAATAATAGTCCTACCTCACAGAGGCTGGCATGAAGATTAAAACAGATACAAGTAAAGCATGTAAAATTGTATCTGCCACATTAATAAACAATATTTATTATGATCTTAAAAAATGTTAAGAATTATTTAACTCAGCAGTCCCCATCCTTTTTGGCATCAGGGACCAGTTTCATGGAAGACAGTTTTTTTTTTTGTTTTTTTTTGAGTCAGAATCTCTGTCTCCCAGGATGGAGGTGGCACGCTCATGGCCACCCCAGCCTTGACCCGCTGGGCTCAGATGATCCTTCCACTTCAGCCTTCCAAGTAGCCAGAATTAGAGGTGCACTACCACGCCCAGCTAATTTTTTGATTTTTATTGTAGAAATGAGGTCGCCAAGTTGTCCAGACAGTTCTCAAACCTGCAGGGATCAGGCAGTCACCTCCCCTTGGCCTCCCAAAGTGCTGGGATTACAGGCTTGAGCCACCATGCCCGGCCAGAAGACAGTTTTTACATGGACAGGGGGTAGAATCATCAGGCATTAGATTCTCATAAGGCTCGTGCAACCTAGATCCCTTGTATGTGTGGTTTACAATAGGGTTCGTGCTCCTATGAGAATCTAATACACTGTTGATTTGACAGAAGGCAGAGCCTGCTGCTCACCTATTGCTGTGCAGCCCAGTTCCTAACAGACTATGGATTGGTACCAGTCCACGGCCCAGGAATTGGGGAATCCTGATTTAACTGAACCTAGACACTCATTTAAATACCAATTGTGAAATACCAACTGTGAAATACCAACGGTGAATCTTTGTCTTTTAAAAAATAGTTATTTTTTTATTTTTAGTTTTTTGAGATGGAGTCTCACTCTACAGAGTGAGACAGACTGGAGTACAGTGGCACAATAACGGCTCACTGTTGCCTTGACCTCCTGGGCTCAGATGATCCTTCTGCCTCAGGCTCCCGAGTAGCTAGGACTACAAGCATGCACCACCACGCCCAGCTAATTTTGACTTTTTGTAGCGATAAGGTCTTCCTATATTGCCCAGTCTGGTCTTGAACTCCTGGGCTCAAGCAATCCTGCCTCGGCCTCCTAAAGTGCTGGTATTATAGGTGTAAGCCACTGCACCTGACCTAAAAAATAGTTATTTTCTATATAAAAACAAATTAGTTAACTTAAAAAAGTATGTATAGGGAAAGTTTGATTCTTACTCTGAGGTCATAGCTCATCTATCTAGTGGCAGGTTACTCAAAAGTGCTGGCTAACTATAATAGTTATGAGGAAATCATAGGTTCTTTTGGGCTAGTTTTTTAAAGTCTAAACTTAAAACTAATGCACATAATAGGAGTTACACGAGGCAGAAGAACTGTACAAAAGAATTTTTATATACTACCATACCTTTTTTGTAAATTCTGTGGTTGCTTCCATAAGCTGTTTTTCTTGATCTGTAAACTATAGAATATGAATTAACAGGCAGTTAAAAAAGACTAAAAATTAAAAAGGAATAAGTAACCAAGAAAGTACATTCTGAAGCACATTACCATATCTGTTACTCTGCTCCTTTCTAGATTGATGTCCAGTTTATTATCTGCTCTGATTCGACTGGTTTCATGCTTTAAAGCAAGTAAAGATGTTTTTTTAAATGATCTTATAATGAGTATTTGTTTTGAAATTAATAACTGGAAAAAATTTCACTTACTATTAGTTGTTGCTTAACTTGGTCTAATTCAATTTTCATTTTCTAGGTATAAGAAAGATCACACACAATTAACATTAAACCAGAAATCCATATTATGATTTATTTAAAAAATATGAAACCCTTGATTAGCAAAACTTAGACAATCTATGGATTTCTAATACAGAATTTGATAAAGAACAAATATAAAAGACATTAGGAAACTATCATATTCAGAAGATAATACTTATGAACAAAACACATTTGTTTTTATATTAAATTCTACTTCAAGAAACTTATTTTCTAAATTTAAAAATATTTTAAATTAGTGAATAACAACTTAAAAATTCTGACCTAATTACAGAAACATATTTTCCTATCAGATAGCAAAGTCACTTAGTGCAGGATCAAATCAAATGGAAAATGCCATATTACTTTTAGCTCTGAGAACATTATACCATGAGTTATACAAATTTTATATACTATATAGAGCTCAAAGACTTTCCTTTTTATGTGGCGTTCTCATATGTATAAAATATAACTCTTACTCCTCAGTATGCAAAAAATTATAATTTATACACAAAGATTAGGTGTGGTTAAACAGTCTATTTTTAATCTAAAAACTTACTGTTTTATAACAATATAAAATTGTTACTTGGTGTTATTATTTTATTTCCTAAATAGAATACTTGTGAGATCAGTTATTTTATTAGTTATAAATTAAAATTTGTATCACCTCGTTCTCTGCTCTCAGGTTTGCAAATTCACTTTTTTCTAGGATGACCATGTCTTTCCTGATGGAGTCCAAGTGAGCCATTAGTTGTTGTACTGTTATTTCCTAGAAAACAAAATAAAAATAACCTAGTGATCTATGGGAAGCCATCTTTTATCAATGGAATTGTTTTCATAAAATTTAAATGAATTTGTTAACATGCTACAAGGTATAAATGTTACTTGGTTAAGTGAAAAAACAATGAAACCTGCAAATCAAAATATAAATAAAAAGATACATATCAATATAAAAAGATTCAAGGAAGAAAAAAAGTATTTCCTAGTGAAAAGAAGTGTCTAGGTCTTTTAAATGAAAAGCATACCAACAAAATGCTTACTTAGATCCTAAGAATTCTGCAGCAAATTTTTTTTAATAACTATATGGAAAGGGTTTTATCATCTTTTATTGCTTTGATTTTGAGGAATTGTCTACCACTAGGAAGACTCAGATAAGACTCAGAAATCAGGTAGTTAGACAAAATAGATAGGTGTATGGTTAAAATAATTGCCCCTTTGTCAGCACAACATAATTTCTGGGAATCTTCCCTATATTTAGCACTACAAACAATATGTGGAAGAAAAGGTTGACCCTGCCTGATAGATTTATAAGCTTTACTTTTCTAACAAGGGGCATTTTCATGGAAATGATTTAAGGCAGACTTACAAAGAAAATAAAACTGTTACAGGTTGAACATCCCTAATTCGAAAATCCAAAAATCCAGGACTTTTTGAGGTGCCAACATGATACTCAAAGGAAACATGCCTTGGAGCATTTTGGATTTCAGATTTGGGATGCTCAATTGATAAGTAAAATGCAAGTATTCCAAAATCTGCAAAATCTGAAATCCAAAACATTTGTTGTGGTCCCAAGCATTTCAGATAGGGGATTACTCAACCTGTACCCACTAAACTTCTTAAAATTAGGTAGCTTGCTAATTCATCTATCCTTCTTTACTAAAAGAAAAATAAGATAAGGGTATAAACTTTAAAGGGACTCTGTAAATAGGATTGGGGGGGGGAAGCCCCCAAAAAGAAGAAGATCACTAGCTGGAACATCCATATTTAAAGTCACAATTTGTGGCCAGGGGTACTTTGTTGGGGTTGCCGTCCTCTGTTGATTGTTACGAATAAGAAAGACTGCTTCAAAAACTGATATGACTTTTAGAAAAGAAAGGCTATAACAATTCTGGACACATAAGCAATAAATGACTCAAGTCTTCAAAGAGCCTGGAATGCATACTTCTCCAGTAACAACTTTTAGATGGCACAGACACATGAAGTAGAGGTTAAAAGTGTGAGTTCTGGAGTCAGGCCATCGGGGTTTGGTTTTAAACTGCCATTTATTTTGAGGTCTTGGCAAGTTATTTAATTTCACTGGTCTCGTTGGTAAAATGGAAATAATAACAGTACCTATATACCTTAAAGATTTGTTTTGAGGATTAAACAAGATAATGTGTGTATAATGCTTAAAGGAGTACTTGGCACATGGTTAGCACTCAATAAATGTTAGCTATTATTATTGCCAATGGGACAGGGATCTGATGGCTGAAGCAGGATAGTCTGACATTAATGTTTAATGTAGAAGAAGTCTTAAGTACTATTATCTTAAAAAAGTGTTTTGACTTTCTACAGCAGACATCCTTTTTTTTTGTAGTTGGAGTCTCATTCTGTCGCCCAGACTGGAGTGCAGTGGCCGCTTCCGGCCACCGAAGCCGGGCTCCGGCGATCTTTCCGCCTCAGCCTTCCCAGTAGCAGGAATTACAAGCATGCGCTACCATGCCCGGCTGATTTTTTGATTTATTGTAGAGATGAGGTCTCGCTGCCCAGGCGGGTCTCGAACCCACAGGCTCAGGCAATCCACTCATCTCAGCCTCCCAAAGGCGCGGGATTACAGGCTGAGCCACCGAGCCCAGCTAAGCAGACATCCTTGACTCATGTCTTTCCTAACCCTCATGTTCTTAGGGAGGGGGTTCACTTTCTTTTATTTCATTCTGCTTGAAATATTTGAGAATTAATTCAGAAGTCACACAGATGTGGCCCCTAGGGGCTGCCAGGCCTATTCTTCTGAAATATCATTATAAAGGAGTTTCATGACCCTAAATATAACATATTTTTATTATTGAGACTACATAGAGAAGCACTGGGAATCTAATTAGACTTCTTGTGGATTCTGAAACTGAGAATAAGGGATTGTATTATGGCTCTAATAGTCTCTTTTTACCTCATTCTTCCTTTAAATACATACTCAAAAAGCCTACAGAACAGTCTAAGTGTCCTTCAAAAATTTTTAATGGAAAGACATACTCCATTGTTAAGTAGTCAGATCTATTAACAGTATAATTGTTTTAACTATTGTGGAGTCATGAGAAAATATTCAGATTATAAGTGAATTCACAATATAATCTAACTCCCAGAATGAGCAGACTTGACATAGTATGGCCCTTTCTGAAGTGATCAAGTAGGTAGCTTGCAGACCCGATGGCCCTGAGCCTTAGCCCCACCCTTCATGACATCTCTGTGCCTTATTCTGTTCTAGAGGTGAAATCAGCAATGGGCTGGGCTCAAGGATGGAATAAGATTTTTAATTAAAAAAAAAGGCCGTAAGTTTAACAGTAATATTCCTATGCTCAATCCTACATCTTGAATATAGGATTAAATAGTCCTAGCAACATGAAGAGTCCTCAAGTCAGTTTTAATTCACTGATAGCTCTTTCAGGATAGCTCATAACTTTGAGAAATCAATTAAATGCTTGGCTTTTCTTTAGTGGACTTAATCTGCTGTGATCCTAAAAAACTAGCTAAAAAATACTTATACAAATTTAAAGGTAAGTTATTTGGAGATTATAGTAGAAATCTTTAAAATCTTTCGATCCTCCATGACCATTAAAGTAATGAAATTTTATGCAAGAGACTCTAATTTTATGTAAGAAATCTTGATTTTTCTTTTTGTGCTATAACACATATATCTGAGGAAGGAAGCCTAAATTTGAAGAATTAAAATGTTAAAAAAATAACATAGGAAGAAAACAGATCTGTAAACACAGCAATTTCATGACTGACAGACATGAATTATGATTCCAGTTAATTTTGCTTATTCTATCCTTTATACAACATTAATGTTTTGCTCATATCACCACAATGAAAACTCTTGCATAGTAACCTCTCTGAACATGCCTTAAGTGGCAAAATAGAATTCTGCCTACTTTTCAGGGTTGTTAGAGATTAAATAATACATGAAAAGTACTCAGCACTGCGCTTCTTAAGAACATGTTAAGTTCTTAGTAAACAGAATTATTATTTGACTTTAAGGATTTTTATATTCAGTCAAATTAAAGCATCTTAGCCAGGCAATTTATGATGCCCTTTTCAGCCATGGAAGCCCCTTCCAGCTAAGTCTGTGAAACTTAACCAAAAAAGAAATATGACAGCAATAAAATATACTTACTATATAGAAAGGTTTGTTCTTCTACATGGTGGTGGGCTTTATGGGGGGAAAAGTAGTTTCATTAATCTACAATGACTCATGATTCCAACAATATAATTAACTCACACAGAAAATCTGGCAAAATTCCAGTCTCTGTGTTACCACAATCTTATTACAACTATTCTAACTATTCGGTCTCTCTAGATACTGACTTTACTCAAGATTTTTCTTTTTTTGTTGTCTCTTTAGGGAAAACAAGGAACACAGGTGTGTTTGGAAGGTCACTGAGTAGATAGAGATGTAGTTATGAAAATGATTGTCTACTGAAACTAACCGAAGTTATAAAAATCAATATATTACCTGCTGAGCTTGAGTGACCATCTCCTTGTAGACGGTATCCAGGCTGACATTTGATAAAGTGGATAATGCTGACACAATTGTCTCTGCTTGTGTTTTGTCAAATCCTGTGGGCAGCAAATAGGTATTCATATGTTTAAAAAGTGTACATTATTCTTAGCCAGGCTCGGTGGCTCAGCCTGTAATCCCGCGCCTTTGGGAGGCTGAGGTGAGTGGATTGCTTGAGCCCGAGGGTTCGAGACCTGCCTGGGCAGGCGAGACCTCATCTCTACAGTAAATCAAAAAATCAGCTGGGCGTGGTAGCGCACGCCTGTAATTCCAGCTACTGGGAAGGCTGAGGCGGAAGGATCGCCGGAAGGATCGCCGGAGCCCAGCAGGTCGAGGCTGCGGTGGCCGGGAGCGGCCACTGCACTCCAGTCTGGGCGACAGAGTGAGACTCTAGCTC